CCACATGACGCCCTCGTAGGAGGGTGACTGAATATCGTTCTTGTTACAGTAATTACACCGTGCCAAGTCTCAACAAAGGCGTTATAGTCATCTTCACCGTCCCAGGTCTTAAAAAAGGTATTACAATGATCGTCACCGTGCAAATCCTCACCAAAGGCGTTACCGTGCAAATCCTCACCAAAGGCGTTACCGTCATCCTCACCGCCCTAGGTCTTACAAACGTGTTACAATGATCCTCACCGTGCCAATTCTCAACAAAGGCGTTACTGTCATTCTCACCGCCCCAGCTCTTAAAAAAGGTGTTACAATGATCTTCACCATACAACGGGGTTACAGACATCTTCACCGTCCCAAGTCAAAAGAAGATTATACGGTTATCTTCAGTGTGCCAGGTCTAAACAAAGGCGTTACGGTCATTCTCACCGTCTCAGGTTTAAAAAAGGTGTTACGGTGATCCTCACTATCCCAGGTCTCCGCAAGGGAGTTAAAGTGATCCTCATTGTCATAGATCTTAAAAAATGTGTTATAGTAATCCTCACTGTGCCAAGTCTCAACAAAGGCGTTACAGCCACCCACACTGTCTCAGGTTTAAAAAAAGGTATGACAGTGATCCTCACCGGCCTAGGTCTTAAAAAGGTGTTACTGTGATTTTCACCATGCCAAGTCTCAAACAAGGGAGTTGCAGTCATCCTCACCGTCCCAGACACCTTATTTAAGTTTCATTCACCAAATATGAGTAGTTAGTATAGACAGGACTACTTATAAGCAGGACCAGTCCATTTTACAATGAAAGGCAATGGGCGGGGGAGGAATTTTCCCCACACGGGGACTGGGCAATTTTTGGACTAATGTTGCATGGGATTTTGACTAATTTTAAACAATTTGGGACTACTACAGGATGTCCATTAATGAAAACTGTAAATTCAGAAAGAGATTTATTTAGCTGTCATGATTCATGCACAAATTGAATAATCATCGGAGTTGTTCGATATATTTGCCTGAATATTCAACACAAAGTTGTAAACATGGTAACCAGGAGGAGGCAGTAGCTTTTGCGGATAGTGTCAAGAAGAATTTCATTCCAAGGTTCAGTTAAGTTCCACTTCAATGAATCAATATCGATGATGACACGACGACGGTTTTGTGAGTCAGGTGTATACTCCTGATAAATTATTCCATAATATTCAGATCTGGTCTTTTAGAGGGCCACTGAGACACACTAATTAGAGCTGATGTATTTTCTCGAGGAATAAATGTGCTGCTTTTTTCTTTTCTTTTTTTTTTTTTACTGGGCAACTTGTAGCTAGTTTAACAGTAACACGGAAGACAGAAGAAGACGATTGACATTGCTTTAAAAATTTTGGAGGTGTAGGTAGTAAGGAAACAAGAAATCAGAAGTGAGTTCCACAGATGAGAAGTGCGAGAAAAGAAACTATTAGAACAGAACTGTTGGTTACATCTACAGGGTGCCCAGTAAAAAAGTGCTAAATCCAGAAAGAAATTTATTTCGCTATCATGATTCATGCATAAACTGAAAAATCATTGTCAATGTTCGAAATATTTGCCTGAATATTCAACACAAAGTTGTAAACGTGGTTAATATGAGGCTTCGCGGATAGTCTCAAGAGAAATTTCATTCCATGGTTCAGTTAATTTCCACTTTAATGAATCAATATCGACGATGTCACGATGACGGCTTTGCAAATGAGTCAGGAGTATACTCCAGTTACAGTAACTAGAACTCCACTGAAATGGGCCAAATAGAGCTGGTATATTTTCTCGAAGAATAAATTTACCGATTTTTTTACTAGGCTTCTTGTAGTATCCTTACTTTTTTTTCTTTTAGAAGGGTCAAGAATGTGTTGAAAAAAAGGATTATTGATTATTATACCAAACACTTTCAGTCACTAATGTACTAATGTTGCATGGGATTTTGACTAATTTTAAATAATTTAGGAATACTACAGGGTGCCTATTAAAAAGAAAACGGTAAATCCAGAAAGAAATTTAATTAGCTATCATGATTCATGCTCAAACTGAACAATCATCGGAGATGTCCGAAATATTTGCCTGAATATTCAACACAAAGTTGTAAGCCTGGTAACCAGGAGGCAGTAGGTTTGCGGATAATGCCAAAAGGAATTTCATTTCAAGATTCAGTTAAGTTCCACTTCAATGAAACAATATCGATGATGTAACGATGACGGCTTTGCAAGTGAGTCAGGATTATACTCCAGAGACAGTAATCTATAATATTTAGATCTGGCCTTTTAGATGGACACTATGGTCCAATTAGAGCTGGTGTATTTTCTTGAAGAATAAATGGGTCATGAATCAGATTAGCTAGGTATAAGGTAGTGAAGACCAGCCTAAACCTATTTCCCCTTTTTCGGCCTTGTGCCAAAATTGTATATTTCTATACAATAAATCTCAAAATACTGCCTAAGCACTTGTGTTCTTGCAGTTATTTGCCGAATTTCGCTGGACGAGAGACTTGCTTTTTTTTTCTGAAAAACTGTTACTTTATCGTTTTATTTTTGTGTTCTCTTTGAAACTTTTGGATATTTCAGTTTTCTTTTGTTTCATTCCAAGTTTCAGTTAAGTTCCCCTTCAATGATTCAATATCGACGATTTCACGACGACGATTTTGCAAATATGAGTCAGGAGTATACTCCAGATACAGTAATCCATAACATTCAAATCCCGATTTAAAATTTAAAAATTCAGATTTTTACAGGATCCCTGGGATGATTTTCTTGAGGAATAAATTTGCTGCTTTTTTTTTCTTACTGTAGTTGATACATTTGGAATCGTGCCCAAAACACATTAGGGTAAAAACTGAATTAATTAAAATTTCTAGACGGAATCAAAACAGAAGTATTAGGGCCGGAGAAGATTGTGTGAAAACCGATGTATATTTGAAAAGGAAACACCTGCCCCGTGTGACAGTTACTCGTCAATTGGTGTGAACGTGGAAAACCCATGAGATATTAAGAGAAACAAGCCAGAAAGTGAGAAAAGAAGACACTTGTTGCGAAAAGAAGACATTTGTTGCGAAAAGAAGACAAATGTGGATGACAATGGTAGTTAATCGGCTGGTTTTACTGATTTTATATTTCAATCCTTGCTGGGTTATTTAAAATTTAATCCGACAATTAGACCAGAGTTAAAAGAGTAAAACAACCTTTTTTTTTATTTAAAATCATTTCACCTCGAGCAAGGTGAGAATGCCACTAGTACAGAGAAAAGACTGAGTATAGGGAGGATTGGGGGAAAGGACAAAAGATGTTGCATGGGATTTTGACTAACTTTAAACAATTTAGGAATACTACAGGGTGCCTATTAAAAAAATGGTAAATTCAGAAATAAATTTATATAGCTGTCATGATTCATGCATAAACTGAACAATCATCGAAGATGTCCGAAATATTTGCCTGAATATTCAACACAAAGTTGTAAACGTGGCAACCAGGAGGAGGCAGTAGATTTGCGGATAGTGTCAAGAGGAATTTCATTCCAAGATTCAATTAAGTTCCACTTCAATGATTCATTATCGACGAAGTCACGACGACTATTTTGCAAATATGAGTCAGGAATATACACCAGAGACAGTAATCTATAATATTTAGATCTGGCCTTTTAGAGAGTACTGAAATGAACCAATTAGAACTGACGTATTTCTTGAAGCATAAATGGGTCATGAATCGGATTAGCTAGGTATAAGAAAGTGAAGACCAGCCTCAACCCATTTCCCCTTTTTCGCCCAAGGCGAGAAAACCACTAGTACGGGGGGGGGTACAGGCAGTGAAAGTGAGAGAAAAGACAGTATAAGGAGGATTTGAGAAAGGACAAAAGATGAATAGGATTCAAGAAGATGGAAAATGGCGATTGACGTTGCATTTGAATTTTTGAAGATTGTAGTTATCAGAGAAGCAGAAGGAAGTTCCACAGCGGGGAAGTGCGAGAAAAGAAACTGTTGGAGTAGAAGTGGCGGTAGCATTCAGCTATATATATCAACAGTAAATGCCAATTTAGTGTCACGCCTAAATTCATGAAATCGGGGGGGTCATCAGGGAACAAAGATTGTCAGAGTAGGTGTCAAGAAAATGTTTGTAAAAAACACAGAAGGAAGTGACGTCACATCGTTGAGAAAGTAATCTGGAAAGTTATTTTAATCTTGCCAATGGGCATTGGAGTGCCAACGTGATATCAATATTTCCGGACGCGCAGGGAACGGTTTTTTTTTGTGTGTGTTGGAGGGTTACATTAAAGTTCACTCTGTACAAGGCCCGGTCGGCACTAAGTAAAGAGGTACGTTAAGAGGCAGTTTATACGAATACCAAGAGGGAGATAACGGTTAACCCTAGACTTAAACAGGTTAAGAGTGTAGTGAAATATCCTCTGAGTAGTCTAGAGCAGTGGTTCGCAGAAAGAATGGAATATGGGGGAAATGTGGATGTTTTGCTACTATGTAAGTGGCATGGTAGGTTCTTGCCGAGAAGGTTAGGTCTAGCAGAACCAAGAATGTAGTTCGTCCGATCACTTTCTATGGTAGTAGCGATAGCGTAGCGTGAATCTCGCTACATCCCGCCTGGGTGCCTGAGGTTGGAGGGTGAAAAATAATTCGTCACCCAAAAGGACTTGGAAACGCTTTTGAACTCTATCGGGAATGGAAAGTGAGGAAAAAGTCTTGAAATCAGTTTGGAGATTCTGGAAGCCAGAAAGGAACTTGAGACCATACTAATGAAATTAAAATCATCACAATTCCAGAGGAGAATGATTGAATATTGATAATTTGTTGTCCCTTGATCCCCAGTGAGAACTAGGAGCTCCAAATAGGGTAAAAGTTTACGGTTGGTCATATCATAGTTACCAACCGATGTTTTTATTTCTTTTGTTTTTAATTATTTTTGGGTTTTTTTTCTTTTGTCGATATTTACTGTATTATACGTAATATAACGCTTACTTTTCTTTCTCTCTCCTTTTCCCTCAATTCTCAAATGCTTTCTTCCTTTCTTCCTGTTTACCACGATACCTACAGTTATTATTTCTACCTCTCTTTTCTTTTCTTTCTCTCCTCTTTTCCCTCTTAATCTCATTTGCCGTCTTTCTTTCTTTCTCTAGCCCCATTTCTGCTCCTACCATTTCTACCGCTCTTTTCTTTTCTTTCTCTTCTCTTTTCCCTCTTGATCTCATTTGCCGTCTTTCTGTCTTCCTCTCTAGCCCCATTTCTGCTCCTACCATTTCTACCGCTCTTTTCTTTTCTTTCTCTTCTCTTTTCCCTCTTAATCTCATTTACCGTCTTTCTTGCTTCCTCTCTAGCCCCATTTCTGCTCCTACCATTTCTACCTCTCTTTTCTTTTCTTTCTCTTCTCTTTTCCCTCTTAATCTCATTTGCCGTCTTTCTTTCTTCCTCTCTAGCCCCATTTCTGCTCCTACCATTTCTACCTCTCTTTTCTTTTCTTTCTCTTCTCTTTTCCCTCTTAATCTCATTTGCCGTCTTTCTTTCTTCCTCTCTAGCCCCATTTCTGCTCCTACCATTTCTACCTCTCTTTTCTTTTCTTTCTCTTTTCTTTTCCATCTTGATCTCATTTGCCGTCTTTCTTTCTTCCTCTCTAGCCCCATTTCTGCTCCTACCATTTCTACCGCTCTTTTCTTTTCTTTCTCTTCTCTTTTCCCTCTTAATCTCATTTACCGTCTTTCTTGCTTCCTCTCTAGCCCCATTTCTGCTCCTACCATTTCTACCTCCATTTTCTTTTCTTTCTCTTCTCTTTTCCCTCTTAATCTCATTTGCCGTCTTTCTTTCTTCCTCTCTAGCCCCATTTCTGCTCCTACCATTTCTACCTCTCTTTTCTTTTCTTTCTCTTCTCTTTTCCCTCTTAATCTCATTTGCCGTCTTTCTTTCTTCCTCTCTAGCCCCATTTCTGCTCCTACCATTTCTACCTCTCTTTTCTTTTCTTTCTCTTCTCTTTTCCCTCTTAATCTCATTTGCCGTCTTTCTTTCTTCCTCTCTAGCCCCATTTCTGCTCCTACCATTTCTACCTCTCTTTTCTTTTCTTTCTCTTCTCATTTCCCTCTTAATTTCATTTGCCGTCTTTCTTTCTTCCTCTCTAGCCCCATTTCTGCTCCTACCATTTCTACCTCTCTTTTCTTTTCTTTCTCTTCTCTTTTCCCTCTTAATCTCATTTGCCGTCTTTCTTTCTTCCTCTCTAGCTTCATTTCTGCTCCTACCATTTTCTACCTCTCTTTTCTTTTCTTTCTCTTTTCTTTTCCCTCTTCATCTCATTTGCCGTCTTTCATTCTTCCTCTCTAGCCCCATTTCTGCTCCTACCATGTCTACCGCTCTTTTCTTTTCTTTCTCTTCTCCTTTCCCTCTTAATCTCATTTGCCGTCTTTCTTTCTTCCTCTCTAGCCCCATTTCAGCTCCTACCATTTCTACCTCTCTTTTCTTTTCTTTCTCTTCTCTTTTCCCTCTTAATCACATTTGCCGTTTTTCTTTCTTCCTCTCTAGCCCCATTTCTGCTCCTACCATTTCTACCTCTCTTTTCTTTTCTTTCTCTTCTCTTTTCCCTCTTAATTTCATTTGCCGTCTTTCTTTATTCCACTCTAGCCCCATTTCTGCTCCTACCATTTCTACCGCTGTTTTCTTTTCTTTCTCTTCTCTTTTCCCTCTTAATCTCATTTACCGTCTTTCTTTCTTCCTCTCTAGACCCATTTCTGCTCCTACCATTTCTACCTCTCTTTTCTTTTCTTTCTCTTCTCTTTTCCCTCTTGATCTCATTTGCCGTCTTTCTTTCTTCCTCTCTAGCCCCATTTCTGCTCCTACCATTTCTACCGCTCTTTTCTTTTCTTTCTCTTCTCTTTTCCCTCTTAATCTCATTTGCCGTCTTTCTTTCTTCCTCTCTAGCCCCATTTCTGCTCCTACCATTTCTACCGCTCTTTTCTTTTCTTTCTCTTCTCTTTTCCCTCTTAATCTCATTTGCCATCTTTCTTTCTTCCTCTCTAGCCCCATTTCTGCTCCGACCATTTCTACCTCTCTTTTCTTTTCTTTCTCTTCTCTTTTCCCTCTTAATCTCATTTGCCGTCTTTCTTTCTTCCTCTCTAGCCCTATTTCTGCTCCTACCATTTCTACCTCTCTTTTCTTTTCTTTCTCTTCTCTTTTCCCTCTTGATCTCATTTGCCGTCTTTCTTTCTTCCTCTCTAGCCCCATTTCTGCTCCTACCATTTCTACCTCTCTTTTCTTTTCTTTCTCTTCTCTTTTCCCTCTTGATCTCATTTGCCGTCTTTCTTTCTTCCTCTCTAGCCCCATTTCTGCTCCTACCATTTCTACCGCTCTTTTCTTTTCTTTCTCTTCTCTTTTCCCTCTTGATCTCATTTGCCGTCTTTCTTTCTTCCTCTCTAGCCCTATTTCTGCTCCTACCATTTCTACCTCACTTTTCTTTCCTTTCTCTTCTCCCTACCCCATTTCTGTTCTTACCTCTCTAACCCCATTTCTGTTCCTACCTCTCTAACCCCATTTCTGTTCCTATCTCTCTAACCACATTTCTGTTTCTACCTCTCTAACCCCATTTCTGTTCTTACCTCACTACTTCCATTTCTGTTCCTACCTCTCTAACCACATTTCTGTTCCTACCTCTCTAACCACATTTCTGTTCTTACCTCTCTAACCACATTTCTGTTCCTACCTCTCTAACCCCGTTTCTGTTCCTACCTCTCTAACACCATTTCTGTTCCTACCTCTCTAACCAAATTTCTGTTCCTACCATTTCTACGTCTCCTTTCTCTTATCTTTTTTTCTCTCTCTCATTTACCATTACCCTTTCTTCCTCTCTAGGCCCATTTTCCCAAACATTTCTATCTCCCCTTTCTTTTTCCACTTTTACTTCTTTATCTCATTTAACATCTTCCTCTCTAACCCCATTTCTGTTCCTACCTCTCTAACCCCATTTCCGCTCCTACCATTTCCCCTCTACTTTCTCTGTCTTCGTTTCCATCTTTATCTCATGTAACATCTTCCTTTCTTTCTCTCTAACCCCATTTCCGCTCCTACCATTTCTCCCTCTACTTTCTCTGTCTTCGTTTCCCTCTTTATCTCATATAACATCTTCCTTTCTTTCTCTCTAACCCCATTTCCGCTCCTACCATTTCTCCCTCTACTTTCTCTGTCTTCGTTTCCCTCTTTATCTCATGTAACATCTTCCTTTCTTTCTCTCTAACCCCATTTCCGCTCCTACCATTTCTCCCTCTACTTTCTCTGTCTTCGTTTCCCTCTTTATCTCATTTAACATCTTCCTTTCTTTCTCTCTAGCATTACTTCTGCTTCTACCATTTCTACCTCTACTTTCTTTCCGTTCTCTTTTCTTTTCCCGTTTACTCATATTTGACTTCTTCCTTCCTTTCTCTCTAGTCCTCTTTTTTCCCCAACCATCTTCTCCCTTCCTTTTCTTTCTTCCTCTTCTCTTTTTCCCTCAATCTTATTTCTTCTCTCCGTTTCATCTTCTTTCATCCTATTTTTTTCCCTATTTTCTTTTCTTTATTTGTCCATCTTTTTTTTTCTCAACGTATATTGATTCCCTTTCAGAAAGATATATTTTCAGTGACAACTTTCGCGTCCAATAGTGAAATAATTCAGCAATTTCCACGCAGACATGTTCAGCCGTTCATTCTTTACAGTCAATGGTGATATCTTATTGTTTGCATTTTGCAATTTTCTCTCTCTTTCTCTTTCTCTCTCAATATCGCTTTATTTATCCAAGATTTCTCCGCTTCTCATCTCTTTATCTATTTACACGCGTTTGACGTCACTTGACCCCTTTTCAATTGAATTATTTCTTGGGTTTTTTTCAGTCTTTTATTAACGCTTCCTATTGGTTAATTTTAAAAAAAAGAAAGTTTGCTCACTTTATTTAGTGGAAAAAGAAACAGAATTCTTCAATTCTGACTTTCCCAAAATACACGACTATTTTAAATAACAGGAATTTTAGATATAAAAATTTTCACTAAATGCAGTTCGTTCTCTATGCGTAATATTCTCTATTGAATTAGGTGCCTTGACAAGGAAGGAGAAAGTTAGGCATATGCACCGTTAAAATAACTGCGGATTTGAACATTAAACTGCGGACTATTTTTGATGTACGGCACCAGTCCGGAAAATATCCAGCCATTTCAAATTCTTCATCCTCATAATAATAATAATAATAATAATAACCCCCGTGACCACGTGGGGTCATACGGTCGTAGCGCAGCTGAGTAACTGACCCGCTTCCTCGCTATACCTCGCAGTGCTTCTGTTAATGTACTGCATATGTCCGGAAAATATCCAGCCATGTCAGATTCTTCATTTCCGACTTACTGAAATATGCACCACTGCTTTAAATAGTCCGAAGTAAAAAAAAAAAAACAAAAAAAAACAAGAATTTAGGATCTAAAAATCTTCAGTGTGCAGACTGAGTGCTTAAAATTCAACAATGAATTAGGAGCCTTGACAAGGAAGATCATCGAAAGGTAAATATTTGCAGTGTCAAATAAAGGCGAATTTAACTTCGGACTTATTTTGCCGTACATCAGCTGTCCGGAAAATATCCAGCCATTTTAAATTCATAATAATAATAATAATAATAATAATATCCATAGCTGGATGAGGTCGTACGGTCGTAGCGCCGCTGAGTAGCTGACCATCTTCCTCCCTACATCTCGCTTTGGTGCCAATGTCTGAGTCTCCGTGAAGGGAATCCCGGTCCACTCAGTCACGTTGCCTGTCCAATTTCTCCCTTTGTCTACCTCTTCTTCTTTTGCCTAAAGTTGAACCTTGTTAGTTGACAGTGGAAAGATTGTCGTCGCTTCTATGACCTTTTTTTTTCAAATGCTATTTCAAAAAACTATGACACTGGTCAGGTGGTCTCTCCACAGTTCCGTTTCTTATCTGTCATCGTATTGCACCGCGTCATCTGCGACGAGGCCGAAATAGTAGTAGTATCTAGTTTCTAATGTTTCAATTCTTCCTTAGAATTCTTCTGTTAATGTCTAAGATTCGTAAGGGTATTAATAGTTCCACAAGGCATGCAACTCTTTGATCATTGATTTCAAAAAGAGGTTCTTATCTCTTTAGATGGATCTTAATTTTACGAAAGTAGTCAATGTTTCTACTGGTCATTTTTATCATTTTACCCCAAGCAGGGCAATAAAGCCACTAGGACGCAAGAGGTTACTGAGTGTTATAGAATATACGAAAAACTAATATTAAGGCGAGAGAACAATAAAAGAACAAGAATTAAGACAGAATATGACGATTGATATTGCATTTAATTTTTTAAAGTTGCCTGGGAAACAAGAAGCCGGAAGTAAGTTCCACAAACGAGAGGTACGAATAGAAGAAACTGTTAGCATAGAACTTACGGTTATATCTAGCCATTTCAACGGTAAAATAATGAGACGTTGCCGCCAATATAGGTACCGTACAGGAAAGTTACTCCGAACAATTAACATGAAAGTATTAATAGAAAAGACTCAGGGAAGATACATTATGGTTGTGGGAACAGTACTGAAGCCGAGATGCCAGGTCAGGGCCAATAACATTGCAGATTCTTCTTTGGATTTTATCAAGAATCTCTAAATATATATCAGGAGCACCAGACCATATGCGACAGCAATATTCGAAGCAATATTCAAAAATTAATTCTTGAAATAATTTTAAAATAATAATAGCAATAATAATAATAATAATAATAATAATAATAATAATAATTGATGTAACCTAGGGAAGATTACTGAATAGAATAATCAAATGAAGGTTGGTAATGAATGATAATACTTAGGACAAGAACAACACGTATAAGATTTGCCAGCGGCGCTTAGAAGAAGTAGACAACTGCTAGAAGTAGGTCAAGTGAATTCCACAGTGAATCTCCAACTGCAGAATAACTACCAACCACCCAACGCGGTCAGATGTGGCACAAGGCCGAATTTAATGTGGGGTATCCGAGCCCGTAGGCTCGGCCAAAAATTCCTCGTAGACACCGTATAAAACGGGGTCGGGTAGCTGTTTCCCGGAACGAGACTCTGTCTTTCGACAAAGCCTCGTCTGGGGATCCTCTCTGCCCGGAGGCAAAGAGTTTGACCAGCACAGCTGGAGACGAATCTCCGACTGCAGACCAACATACTTATTTACTACTATATGTGAATAGGGACATGTCTATTATCGTCCGTAGATATGCTATAATAATAATAATAATAATGAATTTATGAAAGAAAATGAACAAATAAATAAAAAATTTACCTATGACAATGGTACTTTAATCCATTTCAAAGTACTCCCTGACACTGACTTCATTCAGTAAGTCCGTAGTAAAATAAGAATTTTGCTCTGAAATTCTCGCGCTATGCTCGACTGTAGAAAGTTCAATCTGCGTGCTTAATATTCATCACGGAATTAAGTGCCTTGACAAGGAAAGAGATCATGCTGAAAGGAAAATATTTACAATCCTAACTAAATGTGGATTTGAACATAACGAGGCAGGCATTTCGATATAGTGAATCTGTCCGTATCCGGGTGTTTAAAATAAGTAAAAATAAATAAACAGCCTCCCTAAGGCAATGGCGCTTAAAATCCACTTCAAAGTACTCCCCGTTCAGGCCGCACGCACTTATACCTAGCTTCCACGCGTCCACAACAGTCTGCAGTGTCCTCTTTTGGGGTTGCTATCGTTTTAACTCCCCACGGCACCTTTTGGTTTGACTTCTGATAATAGTAACAGCAATATTAGCTGTTTCCCTAGAAGGGAACATTTAGCATACATTGACCCATTCATTTCGTTTAAAATTTATGAGATTTTTCGGTTAAAACGATTTTCAGGAAACAGGTTTTTAAAGTCCAGTTGATGTTATAGCTCTTTCTATTACTGACTGGGAGTTTCCTTCCTGACTTTTTATTTGAAATAGTGTGGAACGTCAACATCTTGATAAGGTCATTATTTTGACTTCGAATTACATGTTATGTTTTAACATCTTGATTATGTTATTGTTTTCTCTTCGACTTAAAATGTGCTATCATTTTAATTGTTGCTGCTGTTGGTAGTCCTCAAGTGATGTGGTTTCTGTTATTTAATACAGTCCTTTATTTGTGATTCCGCATCGCCAGTCCACAATGTTCACTCGTTCAAAGGATGTTCTAATGGCACATATGTCATGAAACAACTCCAGGAATTTGTATACAGCTCCAATAGAAAACTGTATACCCGCTATGTCGGTGTCGCAGCAGCATATGACCATGTAAATGCAGACTTCCTCTTCTTATCCGTTAGAAACTACCTTCCACTAAATGCATCGATCTAGTAGAGGAACTTCATCGGCTCACAAAATCATACATATCTGGCGAGGACCTCAATACGGACACATTTCAAACTTCATCAGGATTAGAAGGACTAAATATGCTCCCCAGACTATTTAAATCTTTTCCAAGACTATGCCCTACATGTTTACAAGTATAGATATGAAGAGATAGGCACTGATCATTTAAGCACTCTATACAACAAACTAATAGAAGACAGCGACCTCATTTCACTTTTGAAGCCAATGTGCTGATGATGAGATTTATACAGATGACATTCATAATTGGGATAAGAATGATATGGAACAGAAATATCAACATCCTCTACAAAGTGTTTCAAGATATAGGACTCATATCCAAAACAGAAACAATGAGCTGGAGCTGGAGCTGGAACTAAAGCAATGATGGTATCTACCCTGAATCTGTCAGAAAAATTCAGGATGTGGCTTTAGTAAATACTAAACACTTCAAATATCTCGGCGTATGGATCAGTTATAACAAATTTATTACCGCAGAAAAAGAAATTGAACATTTTTTCTGGACGAAATTTTGCCCAACACCGCAAATGGCGGCAAAAGCAAAACATGATCCTGAAAACTAGAGATTTGTTTTAAAATACCCTCATCAGATAAAGATTTTCATGTGGATTTCATGCATGGCACAAAACTCTTTCAGAAATATCTAAATTACCAACTGTATACAATCGCCTTCTAAGATCGATGATTAAATCTGGCGCTACACAATCCCAAAGAAAAACTGTACCAAATAACAGAAATCACATCACTTGAAGAATTTCAATAGCGGCAACAACGAAAATGAATTGCACATGTAAATAGAAGGGGAAATAATGGCATCATCAAGATGTTGGCGTTCAACACTACATCAAACAAAAGTTTAGGAAGGAAACCCCAGTCACTACTGGTAAGAACAATAACAGTTTTCGGACTTGAGAAATATATTTTCCTGAAAAAAATTCAATAGAAAGATTTTATGAATTTCAAACGACGGTAGCACTGGCTGCTCAGTCGATGAATACCAAATGTTTCCTTATAAGGAAACGGTTAATATTATCATTACTATTATCCTAGTTGTTTATTAGGAGGCACAGCGGAATAATGGTTATCGGCACGAATTGTGGAATCAGGAATGCCGAGTTCGAATTCCAGTCAAGTTCAATGAATTCGCTTACGTGTTAATAGATTTGAGAAAGATATGAATTCATCTCTTCTACACACCGCCAGCAATGGCATGACAGACAGGGTCCTATAGCCTTGGGTGGGAACCAGTCAATTCGAAACCAACCTGGAAATACTACTGTCTGCGCCGTACGTGTAGTGCTCCTACGACCCTAAAGAGTAACGAATTAAAAAAAAATGTTATTTTTTATGAGATTTATTTTAGCGAATTTATAATTTAATAAGATTATTTTAGAAATAAAACTTTGTATATCCTAAAATAAAAAAAATATTAAGGGAACAAAACGGTTTTAAATTGAAATAATTCGACACACGTACCTACAATGAAAATGTGTGTCCGTTATTCGTTAGTGTTGCTTTTCTGAGTAGGCTATAGAATATGAAAATAGGACTTGTTAATTAGTAATGACAATTTCCACACGATGGCATCTGATGATTGAAGTATTTTTAGACTTGTCTTCATCTTCATCATCAGTCAAGTGTGGTTACAGCAGAGCTGGACACCTGTGACCAGATTCTTCCATCAGTCCCAGTTGCGTGCCAATGTCAGAGAGATGTCGGCAGTTAAATATTTGGAATTTGTCATCAGAATTTTATTCATTTCAGCCAGCGCTTCTTGTAAAACATACAGATTTGTTTAGGAACAAGATTGAGGTTGAGAAATATCGATGAAAATGAATCCAACATTTGCAAATGAAATAAATAACACGTGGAGGAATATGACTAGCCATGGTTGGCAACCAGTATAGTAGAAATGTCTGAATTCAAAACTGTATGTGTCCCTAATGGGCTGTATTTAAGACCTGTTCAGCATAGTTGAAGTATAAATCATAGGTTGTCTCCGTGGGTCTTGAAGAAAAGCCAATGGGTAAGCTGATGGCTAAGCTAGAAAACGAGCAGATACGCTGAAGATACAATCTGCCTTCAATTCGAAACGTCTCTGATATGTTATACCGTACCTATGGACTATAATGGGTATATTCCGATCCTTATAAATACAGTGGAATATACTATATGTAGGATCCACTGTGGTCTTCCACAGTGTGCTTGTCAAACTCTCTGCCTCCGGACAGAGAGGAACCCAGACGGGGTTATGCCAAAGGTCAGAGTCTCGTCTGGGGTGATAGACAGCAATCCGACCACGTTTTTACGGGATCTATGGGGATATTTTTGGCCGAGCCTATGGGCTCGGATACCCCACAATAAACTCGGCTTTGTGCCACATCCGACCGGGTAGGGCGGTTAGTGAATATCTTCACTATGGTCTTCCACAGTGTACTTGTCAAACTCTCTGACTCCGGACAGAGAGGAACCCCAACGAGGATATGCCGAAGGGTAGGGTCTCGTCTGGGATGACAGACAGCTACCAGACTCCGTTTGTACGGTGTTTCCGGGAATTTTTGACCGAGCCAACGGGATCGGTTCATACCACATTAAATTCGTCCTCGTGCCATATCTGACCGCGTGGGGAGGTTAGTGAATATCTTCAGTGTCGTCTTCAACTGTGTACTTGTCAAACTTTCTGTCTCCGAACTGAGCGGAATCCAGACGAGGCTATATCGAAGGACAGAGTCTCGGTTGGGGATTGTAGACAGCTACCCGACCCCGTGTATACAGGATCTACGAAGATTTTTGTGCCCAAGCCTACGGGCTCCTATCACCCCACATTAAATTCGGCCTTGGGCAATATCTGGCCACGTGAAGAGGTTAAAGAATATCTTCGCTGTGGTCTTCCACTGTGTACTTGTCAAACTCTCCGCCTCCGGACAGGGAGGTACCCAGTCTAGGCTGTGCCGAAGAGCAGAGTCTCGCCTGGAGTGATAGAAAGCTACCTAACCCCGTTTGTACGGTGTTACCGGGAAATTTTTGACAGTGCCAACGGGCTCGGTTCATACCACATTAAATTCAGCCATGTGCCACATCTGACCACGTGGGAAGTTTAGTGAATATCTTGGGACTAAGAAATGGAGCTCGTCCTAATTCTTGCTTCTCTGTCGCCTACAATCTTCAAAAAATTAAATGCAACTTCAGTCGCCATCTTCTGTCTTCCTGACACCCGTTTCTTTATTGTCCTTTCTCCTCGGTAAAGTCCTCTCATTCTCTTTCATTCCCAGTAAATCCTTGCGTCTTAGTGCCATTATCACCTTGCAAAATCCAAGAAAGGGTCTGTAATGTTATTGGTCCTGATCTGGCATCTTGATTCAGTCACTTTTCCACTGACGTGGCGTTGTTTCACTTTGTCTTTCTTATAAATATTTCTACGGCAATTATTTTAAAGAACTCTCCCAGTTGTTAACTTTTATTTAATCGCACTACTGAATTGGCTGTTAAGTCCCATGGTTTTACTGTTGGCACAGCTGATTGTCGCTCTTTCCATGGCAAATATTCTGACGAGCTCCATTTCTTAGTCCCACTACCCCTTAACAACTGGGACCCACCATGCCACGTACACAAATGTAAATCAACCCCATTCCCTTCGTATACCATTAGTAAAGAGGAAGTTCCCTTCTGACAGTTTCTTCCCAAGAACTGCAGCTTTGTGGAACTTGAACCCAACAAGATGTTTTCCCAATTACGATTTGTACATCTAATCGTTATCTGTCCTGCGTAACCCGATAAACTTCTTCTCTTTCTTTACGCCCATACAGCACAACACAGTAGCCCTCTGCCTTGAGTGGCTCTTAGGACGTGTATTTGATGAACATTAGTTTAGAATTATATTCTAGTAGTTTCTTCTCCCACGCTTCTCGCCTGTGGTGTTCTCTTTCTCTAGCTTCCCAGGTGCCTAAGATCATCAAACATTTAAATACAACGCCAATCGCCATCTTCTATCATTCTGATTCCTTTTTTTTTTTTTTATTGTACTTTCTCCTTACAGAATTCTTCTCGTTCTCCTCCACTCCCAGTTGCCCCGTGCATCTTAGTAGCATTATCGCCTTGCTTAGGATGAAGTGATTTAAAAATATTTACATTTCTGTACTCGTTTGATTCTGATATCTGGTCCAGTTTGGAGGCCACCATATTTGGCTGGAAGTTTTGTTGAAGATTAAACATTCGTTTTTCTTCCAGTTGGTGGTTGTACTTTTCAATTCGATTTCCTTGGCTCCTTTGTCTACTTTATATACTATCAAATGTATCAATATTAGCGACAACAGTTATTTTGCGCATCACTTTCAATCAAATAAATGACACCTCCGACGTTCAAAGAAACGCCCCCTACTTTCTCTCTCTCCCTCTCTCTCTCTCTCTCTCTTTCTTTCTTACTTTCTCTTTTTTTCTTTTCTCTCTCTCTTTTCTCTCTCTTTCTCTCTCTCTTACTTTCTCTTTTTTCTTTATTTCTCTGTCTCTTTCTCTCTCTCACGCTTTTTCTGCTAACTTCGTAGATAGATTCAATAAGTAACTAATAATTTGTGGCCTTAAATGTGCATTACATAGCACAAATTTGCATTTACATTATAGGACTGAAAACTGTGGAGAGCCATGATCGCTAACGCCCTGAAGGGACACGACACTTGAAGAAGAACAAAAAGAAGCAAATTAAGATATATCAATATTTCATGCGTCGTAAATATATATATATATATATATATATATATATATATGTGTGTGTGTGTGAAGAGAAACAAAATATTACAAAGTTATTTAGTGTTGAGCACTTCTGTCCCTTCAGGATGCAGGCGATCATGGCCATCCACATCTCCCTGTATCTTGTAGCTCTTAAGATGTTTTATGTTTTTGTTATTTCTCCCAAACCCTGTTCTGCCATCCATTTATTCTAGCCTATTAAGTATGTCACGCGTTGCTTTCCCCTGTCCCTCTTTCTCTCTATCCGTCCTGTGAGTATCAGATTTTCCAAGCCCTCCTTTCTCATTACGTGCCACAGAAATGTCAGCTGCCTCTGTCTGATGTTAAGGATAAGTTTCCTTTTTGTTTCCATTTTCTCCCAAAACCGCGTCGTTTCTCCCATGTTCGGCACATGATATCCTCAGCACCTGTAAAAAGTTGGCGAAGAAGAAGAAGAAGAAGAAGAAGAAGAAGAAGAGAAAGAATGTTTGCTTGTTTTGTTTTACGGCATATCAACCTCAATGGGTTATTTAATGCCAACAAGATATTTATTGCTGGTAATTTTTTTTTTTTTTTCAAAAAGTATTTCTGCTAATATTTTTCCAAAAAATGTATTGCAGGCAATATTTCTTTTTACAAAATTGTATTTCTGGTATTAAATCTATTTTTATACGTTTTGATCCCATTTTCAGGGTTAACTATTTGCCTATAGCTGGGACCTTAACAGGTGCTACCACCCTAGGTCAAGATGAACCTAGGAACAAAAGCAATTAATAGGTGCTTCCACGCTGATTAAAATATGCTGATCAGAGGCCTGATGAATAAAAAGATGAAGAAGAACAACAATAATAATAATAATAATAAGATGATGATGATGATGATGATAAATGAAGAAAAAGAACGAGAACAACAACAACAAAAAGAACGAGAAGAAGATGAAGAACATATCATAATTAGTTATTTGTACATATGCAAACTTTCAACAGACGGAGGTGAATTAAAATCGGTTAAAATATAATTGCAATAAAATCCAATTAAACATGAACCGTTTCGGTGCATTGAATTATGCTATGAATCAAGCTTTGAATCATGTTTGAAACATACTATGAAACATGACTTGAATCATGCTGTGAATTAGGCCTTGAATCAAGCTTTGAATCATGTTTGAATCATGATTTGAAACATGTCTTGAGTCATGACGTGAATTATGCTATGAATCAAGCTTTGAATCATACTATGAAATATGACTTGAATCATGCTGTGAATTAGGCCTTGAATCAAGCTTTGAATCATGTTAGAATCATGATTAGAAACACGCCTTGAATCATGCTGTGAATTATGCTTTGAATCAAGCTTTGAATCATGTTTGAATCATACTATGAACATGACTTGAATTATGACGTGAATTATGCTTTGAATCATGATTTGAATCATGTTTGAATCATACCATGAAACATGACTTGAATCATGCCGTGAATTGTTCTTTGACTCATGCTTTCAATCATGTTTGGATCATGATTTGAAACATGCCTTTATTCATGCTGCGAATTATGCTTTGAATCAAGCCTTGAATCATACTATGAAACAAGACTTGAATTATGCCATGAATTATGCTTTGAATCATGATTTGAATCATGTTTGAATCATACTATGAACATGACTTGAATCATGTTTGAATCATGCTTTGAATCATGTTTGAATCATGCTTTGAATCGTGTTTGAATCATACTTTGAAACATGCCTTGAGTCAAGCAAAGTTTGAGTAAGATGAAGAAATCACAATTTATTTATCTATCTATCGATCTATCTATCTCCATATCTATATATATATATATATTTCGCAGATGCGAATTGAGTCACTGTCGGTCACTGGGCGTGTTTCTAAAAATAAATACGCTAAAAAAAATCCACTTTCATCCCTACCGTGCGCCGACGGCTTAATGGTTAGAATCTCCGACTGACACCAATTCAGCCGGGTTTCGATCCTAGCTAAAGGCAACCGGATGTCTAGCCACACTGATGAGCTGCGAAACAGTCTGTCTGTGGATGACGTTATATATATATATATATATATATATATATATATATATATATATATATATATATATATATATATATAATACAAAAATAGCCAAAACACACTTAAAAACCTAACCTTCCATAAGTAATAGCCTAACATTTAAGCTACCACCAAATCAGAGTAAGTGCAAACATATTAACAAATATTGTTATTTAAGCATTAACATATATATATATATACCAGTTGTTTATCTATGTAAATCAGTCTGAGATAGATGGCTTTCTCTGTCTCTGTTTATATATAAATATAATATATTCCTGAAAATGAAACGATTATGCTGAAAAGAATCAGAAATCTTGTTTGTAATTTATTTAATCGGACATGCCTGATTATCTACATTTATATACAGAGATAGATAACTTTCTAAGTATCTTTATCAGTTGTTTATCTATCTATCTATGTATTATCTATCTAAGTCTGTTGATATCTATCTTGTTTTGGGAATGTGCTGTATGTAAGCGCATACTTTTTTCGAATTTATATTATGAAAACCATATGAAAGGTTATCACAACAAACAGAAACAAGCCATCTCTACCAATCTGCCTCATCCTGTCCTGCCGATAACACCTGTGTTGTTTGCAATAAGGTTTGCATATCATCATGTAAGCCTATGATGGTATAGAGGAGTGTGGCAGGTCGGGAAGATGCAATCAATCCAATCAAAGTTACAGAGTTTATTTGCAATATATGCCGCTTCAGAGGTACCATACCGATACGTATGAACTCGAATACTAATAATGAATTTTTTTTTATGAATTTTTATGATTATCTCGGAAGCTTCATAGGTGTATAGATAGAAACGGAGACAAAGACCGTATGCCAAACTCCTTGTATATCGCGATCAGCATCAGAATTCAGTCATTTCGAATTATAATAAAAGAGGGAAAACATTATTAGTACTGGCTTCATTCCTCTCCTTTCGGTGAGAGTGACAGAGAGAGAGAGAGTGATAGAAAAGAGAGAGAGGGGGAGAAAGAGCGCTATAGAAAGAGAGAGAAGCGGGGTGGGAAGTGAATTGAATGTGTGACATTTACGTTAATGAGTGATTTGCAAAGGACACTTGGACAGTGGCCAATTCCTGTTATCATCGTCGGCCACCGGCTTTGGAAGTGAGACAATGTGCGCAGAATCGTTTTACGAAATGCGCACCAGATGAACAGAAATGAATGTGAGTGCCGGAAAATAAATAGATGTCATTGAGTTCATGGACATTCTTATCAGTTTGCCAGTCAGTCTGTTTCAATCGCTTTATATCTATCTTAATAACTAAATTTTGAAAAGAAACCTGTAAAAAAAAATCTATAAAACAGTTTAGTCATAACCCTAGCGATGTAAGGAACTCCGTAAATCTATCAGCGTGTTCATGACTATCTATGAAAGGACACACCTACTTTTGCTCCTTTTGTGTTATATATATATATATATATATATATATATATATATATATATATATATAATATAAAGTATACTTGAGAGAGATATGAAATTAATCCCTCCCTATACTCTACCATGTCTCTTTAACTATCCCTTTTACACTCTCTGTTAAATTACAAAAACTTACACAACCCATCAATTTTAATTTCATTTTTCGTTTCATTTCATTTTTGGAAGTGCTATCTGATGATCCGGTGTCATTTAAAAGGGCTCTGGTGAAATAAATTATCATAATGGTACCTTAAAGTGGTCTGTTTTTCTTTTAAATATTAGCTCTGGATTTACATTGAGCTCTCAGGATTTCACCCTCCTTGGAATTACCCATACGGATTACCAAGTTTTTCACAAAGTTTTTTTTTTTTTAGTCTATTTTGGCGGTTATTTTACCGAAAGTTGTTTGTTTATTTATTTATTTGGGTTAAATTTTTTGCTTGTTTTTATTTATTTTTAATTTTTATTTTTATATTTTATTTTTCATTTCTTGTAGTTTATTCTAAGTTATTTTGGTGGAATATCTTTATATATATATATATATATATATGTGTGTGTGTGTGTGTGTGAGTGTGTGTGTGTGTGTGTGTGTGTGTGTGTGTGTGTGTGTGTGTGTGTGTGTGTGTGTGTATAATGTAAATCTATTTAAGCTCGATGGGTGAAAAAACCTGGATAGCCCAATGTTCAAACAAATTGGCATCATGGGAAAAATTTGGAAAAAAAATTATGATCTAGAAACAGGGCGAAAGTAATCGCCGAGTATCTTAAATTTCGGGTACGAAGAAGAAAAAAAACAGCGAGTAATAAGTTAAAGTGACGAGTGCTCAATACGCTAAGTAGAACAAAGGTAAAATAAATCCTAATGAGCCAGATACTACCTACCTAGATTTTTACATGGGATCATCAAGGTGAACTGACTGTTCACCCTGATGATCCAATGTCTTGAAATCTAAGGTAAGTAGTATCTGGCTATATTAGGATTTATTTTATATATATATATATATATATATATATATATATATATATATATAAAGGTATGTATCCTCTTCATCTCCCCTCCAGCTATGGGTAAAATAGCAGGACAGACTGGTTTCTATAGCCTTGGATGGCAACTGGTCTAGGAGAAGGACAACTCTGAATTCAAAACCTGCGGAGGGTCGTTTGGGAACCTTGTGGCATGCATTCGGTGCACCAGGTTTCTGTATTCGTCCCTCCAAAAAGTGTGGCTGGTCCTGCACAAGGCCTTCACCACTATAAACAAAATCTCATGTGCCGGTGTCGGGATGTCGGTTTCCTGTGGACTTATCGGCCTG